GAACTTTCGAGTCGTCTTCTTTTTTGCTAATAACTTCTTCCCGTTATATAAGCGCATTTTGACAAACGGATCTGCAGTAAAATTCGTACAAAATATTACATTTTCGAACGGAAGTAAAGATCAAGGCAATAATTAAAACCATAGGCATCCCATTTTGCCCAATCAAGTAAAGCCAGTCAAATTTTTAATAGTTTCAAAATAATATATAGGATCGAAGTTGGAAGAAGTTGACAGCTACGTCCATCATGTAAAGGAAGAATGCGCCGCAATTTCCAGTCTGAGATTGCACATAGAAGGGCTTTCGGTTGGAGCAAACTTTATAGCATTGCCAATTTCCTCAAAAGTACCGAACCAAAAAGACAATGCCCGCTTTTTCAGCACCATTATTTTAGAGGCAACGAAGCTCATAAGTTTAAATTTTGCCCTCTGACTGCACGGCAACGGTTTTCGCACATTCTAAAAAGTCCCTCAAGCTTCAAAAAAAAATCCTTCAGTTTTATTTCCAGACTGTGATCACCAAGCAATTTAGCAAACGCAAGTAGTAATGAGGAAAACGGAGTCTTGGGCTTTAAAGCATGGAAAGGAATTGTCCTGTGGGACTAACCAATCAACCGAGCCAGCAAGTCCTGGAATTTTGTTTAAACTTAATTGATTCGAACAAATTTAGATTTTTTTTTTGCTTAATTTTCGTGATATGCGTAAGTTTTGAGCTTCAGTGAAGCAAACACTAACCGGATGATCCCGTAACATCCATTTTTTTGAGATTTCTAGCTTCCATGATAGCTACTGTGAGGGTTGCTGTAGCTGGCCGATATCGTAACGAAAAACAAACGTCACCAAGTCGTGATTCCTGTAAATTCGAGCAAAATACTTCTAAATTTTGGAAAAAGAAATCATCCTAATTTGAGCTTTTCACTTCTAATTTTACTCCTTAATTATATAGTTTGATTGTTGCTGTCATTGGTCTGCCTCTTCAATCGCTCTGGTCAAAGCCGTAATGCATGATGGTCATCCTGCCGGCGATTTTGACATTCGTTTCGTTTTCTGAAGGGATTACCAACTCAGTATTTCTTACGGCAACAGCATCTGGCAGGGACTAAGCCGTCTCGAAATGCCATTAATGTATATATTGCGCATTACCATTTCGCTCTCAAATTTATCATTTCTGACCGAGTTCAAGGGAAATTACCAGTAAAATGATAACTTAGATATGACATATTTCACGTACTCATGTAGAACTGGTCGCAAAGTTTTTGCATTTTAGCCAAAATGAATAAATTTTTATTAATTAAATACTGTGCAGCGTTTATTTCCCTCCATCACCAAATTTTTTGCATTTTTCTTTTCTGCAAAAATAATATCGATCCTTAGGTGCGCTAATTTAATAGGATGTTTTTTTGCACCTGTGCTTTTTGCTTTGCTAGAGCTTTTTGAGCAAATTCCAGAGTGAGTTGGAATTGCGCCCAATTTCCTGTGGCTAAAGACTCACTGAATCGGCTCCCTCTTCTGGTGGACTCAGTTGCGACCACACTTCTACGGTCGTGCCAAAATCGACCCGTTCCAGCGGTATTGACAACTGCCCGATGCGATCATCCTTCCTTAGCCGATCGAAATCGTAGACAATCAACTGAAGCGTCATGCATTGAAGCTCAGTAAATTTTACCTGAAATCTTTGGACTTTTAAAAGGTTTCATCTGACACAACTCGCATTAAACCAGCTGGTCTGCACGCAAACTGTATCTTCTTACATATCTGTGTAAAACCAAAATGAATAATTACACAGTTGTGTGTGTATGTGTATATATGCACAAAAAATTTGTGCGGATGTACGAGCCATTGGGAATTGGCAAATATGCATCAGTACATATAAATGGAATATCCCAGTGGTACGTGAACATTGATTTTAAGCTGTTTGGATGGTACGTAGGCTCGGAACATTATTGTGAAGTTTCTGCTTTCTAGTTTCCGCGATGGTTAATTGTAGGTGAAAAAAATCGACTACGTCCGTATAAATACACATAGACACGACAATCTCTCGACAATATGCGTTTTTGTCGCATTTTTGCAAAATGATGCAAAAACGCATAAGACCGCAAGACAATCGGTGTGGGAATTTTACATTAAGTGATATTAAGTGACGCTTCCATTTGCCGGGAATAGCTATGCTAGGCTCTTGGTTCACGAACTGCGTACCTGTTCACCGCCTTTTTGATTGTCGGATCTGGGGCACATGACCTAAGGATAGATCCTAGCACAACTGCTTCCGGCGATAAATTTCACCCTTCGGAGGCAGAGCAAACGACCATTTATGTATGTAATCAAAACGGCCATGTGTTAAAAAGCAACTTACAAAAGGCTATTTATGTATACAGATCAGCAAAACGATATCCCCAGAGCAATTTTACATTCGCAAAAAGTAACCGGTCACTCGGGTGTTTACCAACGATACGGTGAAACACAATTAAACACCTCTTTGAAGATGATGGGTACTGACTGAAGATACGCAGTACAGGATTCAACATAAAACTTATATCACGTAGGTATCATTTTATTCCAAGCGCCACTTTGGTAATTGTGATAATTTGATTTTTTTTTTTTGAAAAAGTAAGCAGAGGCTTATTTTTTACTTCAAATTACAGAAGCTTACATTGAAAGCGAACATCTCGTTAAAAACTGGATTCAGATTCTTTCGCTTAATTTT